AGGGTACGAGCCTGGCGCCGACTCTGTGCGAGCCAGGTGCGAGGCGGGAACCTGACCCTGGAACGAAGGTTGCTGGCTACACGGCTCTGACCACAGACAGCATGCACAACAAATAGTCCCAGCCTCTGGTTTCACTACTACAGCTGTTTTGCATCTGTAGAGGGCTCAGCCCTTTCTCCTTTGATAACAGCTTACTGTCCCATCAACAGCCTGGGCTCAGAAGAGATCAAAAGGGGCCCCCTTAAAACAGAACAGGAGCAGGAGAACCAACATGAACAAGATTTAAAGATACAGTTCTCACAGGAACAACCCTCCCCCACCTCAGAGCCAAGTTGGAGGTTGTTTCATCACAGTCTGAGGTGAAAAAAAGTGTATGTATAAGATGGCTGAGCAATAAAAGAACCAGAGGCCCCATAACTTTACGGTGCTTCTCTACCTAAAGCCCAGGCCTAAGTCTTGGTCTTTTCTGGCCATGATATGATCAGAAGCTGGGGGGGGGAAAGCTTTGTTTCGTTTGTTCTCCAGCATCTCTCTTTGCTGGTTTACAAGACAGTAAAAAGGATTATTCCATGGTACAAGGCCAACCCCACAAATACAAGGAAATCCCTCTTTTGCCATGCTCACTGGAATTGCTCCAGTTGAAGACAGCTTCTTACCAATAATGTTAACTGCTACAGCAGCCCGCATGAAAACAGGCAGTATGAGCACTGAGCAGAACACAAGGCCACAGTCATATCCATGGAGACCAGGTAACACAGTGTCCAGAAAAAAAAAATGCCATTCCTGTTCCCCTCTGTCACTTGGTGAGCTCAAGTATGGACCAAGAAGGGCAGAAGCACCAAGGAGGGCAGCCACAGGAATTCCTGTCCTACTGTTCATAGCAATGACATTAATCCTGTAAGAAGGCCTGTCTCCACTGGCTAACAGATAGCAGTGGGTTTGAGGGCACACTGAATTTTAATACAGAGTGGAATCCAGAGATATTTGGAAAGCAGTCTGGGCACAGCCATCTCCTGACCCTTTCTGCTTACCTTCCCCCCTTCCCACCCACCCCAGACAAACTAGGACAATCCTGCAGTTTACTCCAGGCAATCAAAGGTGGCATCAGCGCCTCTTGCTGGCTTCCCTGTGAGCTGCAGTCCCTGGATCATCAATATGAGCCATAACGATCCTGGGGAGGAAACACACCAAGACACTATGCTACAACACTTCATGCAAACTCCACAGACACGGACAAGGTCTTGGGGTGTTTGGGACTGGAAGACAACTAAAAGGGAAGTAGCCAGCACAAGGCTACCTAAAGACAGACACCATGCAAAGGCAGGAGGTAAAACAGTCCCAGCTTAGTGAGTTTTGCCCAAGATTTGCTGTGGGAAAAGGCATTATCTGAAGTAACCAGGTGTTCTGTCCACCAGGAGAGTAAGGTTGGCCAAGGAGTTCACTGACCACCTGGAACTGCTCTGCTGCTATAGTGTAGCTATCAGCTACAAAAGGCAGGTCCTTACACGGGAACTGGCTTTCTGTGCCTATTGGGAAGACAGTGATAATCCTGACGGAAGCCAGGATGTGGTGAGAGTCCCTAAGTGTGACCGTAGCCTCTCTGAAGGTGCCACAGTGTCACCTCACCTGGAGCGAGTTCATCACCCCGTTGGCTAGGACAGCCATCTTGCCAGCAACTGATTTCACTCCTTGCTTGAACTGTGCGATGTCGGCTGCAGGCAGGACGTTCCCAATTGACACACCACCTACAAGAGCCAGCAGGAACGAGTTTGGAGCTTCTGCAGTTCCAGAGAGCACCCTGGCCCCCTCCAGGCTAAGGGCTCTAAAGCTGCCCCATGACTCTCCACTGACCCGCTCCCTCCCTGCTCTGAGCACTAACCTACCTGAGTGCATATTCTCAGTGTCCCCAAACAGGTCTGCAGAACTGATGGCACTGCTACCTGAGAGCTGCTGCAGTCGAGATCTGGCTTCATACTGCAGTGGAAGGAAAGCAGAACAAGAAAAAAAAAAGTTACAAAGGAAGGGAACAAAGCAGGACCCGAGCAAACCGGAAGGGATGAGGACAGAGCTGTACCAACTTAAGCACTGCAGGACATGCCTACCTCAGCATCTGCCTCTCGTCCAAAGAACATATCTGAAGAGATGGCCTTGGCCCCTGCAAACTTCTGCCGTGCTTCATTTGATTCCACAACTGATGCCCTGCTCTCTGTCTCCCGCCTATTGGTGGGTCTGAGGTAACAAGACAGGAGACATGTCACAGTAAAGAAACAGGCTTCTCTCTCTCAGATCCCATTTGATTAAAGGAAAGCTACAAAGCCTCAAGTGCTAGCCACTGTCATGGTTCCCTGTTCCCCCCCCCTCCATCAGAACAACCAGCACTTGATGACTGCGAAGGCTTTAATCAGACTTTGAGACACAACAGGGAAAGAAGTACCCAAGCCCTTTTTACTGAAGGCCCCTTTCCTTGGGCTAGAAAATCACTCCCATCAGTACATAGTCCTGCTGTCAACTTGACTTGCACATGCAAGTAATCTTCTGTAGCACAAGACTCGGATCCAGTCATAATACAGTAACATCTCAGTAACATCTTTTCCTATAGCTCCCAGACCTACCCCTTTGTCCCACACCCAAGGTACAGTGACACTGGAAGGCACTTTACCTCTCTGAAACTGGTCGAATACTGGAAATGGTCACTTCAGGTTCCTCCTCTTTGTCAATACCCCACGAGGAGTCCGTTTCCCATCGTGACCCAAAGGCATCTCCCAATGAGAAGGGATTATCTTTATACCTAGGTACCAAAGAGAGGTAACTCAGGCCAGACATTAAATTCAGAAATAAGCCAAAGGCTACACTGAAGCTTAGTCTTACTTGGGGGGTCCAGATGTGAAGCCTCCAGCGTCTTCAAACAAATCCAATTGGGAGCGGGAAGATTTTGCAGCCAGCGGTGTCTCCTGCTCAATTACTTGCATCTCCGACATCACTGAGTGTGAGACGGAACTAGCACAACAAACAGGCAATCAGGGCTGACAGCGTCCAGCCGCTAAAACCAGCCTGCCTCAAAACTGAATCTGGCTTTCACAGACAGCGCAGGTGCCACAAGTCTCTAGGGAGAGTCATGGGACACAAGCCCCCTTCACTGCATGTCTAGCCTAATCTGATTCCCTCAGAAGTCTTGAGCTACTTTCTTAAGGCAGGTATTTTGCAGGGGGACAGCTGTCAGCAGCAGGGCTCTAGGGCTGGAGCCTGACAGGTCACATGCATCTTCAGAAAGGCTCAAATGCAGACTAGAACCTCTGAACAAAGCACCCATTCCTTCCAGGGCCTGAAACGTTTTTAGACATAGTCCAACATACAAACACCCGAAATCAGATGTTTATTTGTTACAATGCCTTCAGGAACCTAATCCAGAGCAGAGTGCTTTCAGGGCACCTCTGTCTATGCTACACCATCCAGAGCCAAGTACCTTCTAGACACCAAGCCCATGCCTAGCCTCTCGGCTTGTTCACGTTTCTTCCCTTCGAGGTTCTGAAGTTTCTTCTCCTCCTTCTTCC